TCTATTCAGTCACCATTCCACTCATGCGTATTCACACGGTACTCGCACCCTATTGCGATGAAGGGCGCGTCTTCCAACAAGACTCCATGGATTTACGTGAGCGCATACAGAATTGTGACCTTTTCGCCTAGCGAAGGTCAGGCGACCTTGTGATGTCCATCGAGGTGCCCAATTATGATGATGCTGCTGGTCGCTACGACTTTGGCTCCGATGCGTATGGGAAGTGTGCCCTACTCTGCTTCGGTAGTGAGATTGAGAGGATAGTGCTAGATTTATTTCAACTGGGCACCATCCTCCCCGACGAGAAGGCCCCCGTGCGAGTTTATGTATTAGCGGAAGTTGCGCTGGCTGCATTGGCCAAGGAAGGCGGCTTACGTATTAAGCAGGACATTAGCAATCACTGCAAACAGGTAGCGTTTGCACTGTCGCGGATATAAGCGGAAGATCAAAGAGACGGCGTCATGGAAGACAGAACAGGTTATGCAATTTCGCCGGGTACTGGGTGGCTTTGTGTGCCGCGAAGCCTTCTCCGAGGAGACATTTTCGGGGGGGGCAGCGCGCTCCTCCCGTAGTTTGTTGTCCAGTGCAGTTGCTTGTCACCGAGATCTGATGTTAGCTAGATTGGACGTAGACAAGGCCTGTCTTAAGGGTCTGACTCGCAAAGAGCTGGCCGAAGCTACGGGAGCGCAGGAAAGTATGGTCTGTTTGATTTACCTCCTAGAAGCGTGACGAGCCCACGCGCCCTGCGAGGATTGCGACGACTCCGGGCAATTCTTGGCATCGCTTGATCTGCCTCGAGTCTGGCACAGGCACTATGGTTTCCCCTTGTGCTTTCTTCCCGCAAGCTTCAACGAACCGCGGAGAGACTTGGCCTCGCGTTCATGTCGCGCGACCCGAAGTTTGAGGCCACTCAAGACCTGGTCACGGCCGAGGCGCGCACGCGACGTCGTTGCGTGGGCAAGGGGACCCTCGTAGATGCCTGCGTCAAGAAAGTCGAGCAGGTAATCGGCAAGTGCACGCTTCACAGGCATTCCTGCGCGACTTGCGTGGTGAGGTATGCCAAGACGATGGAGGGTCGTCATGGATCAATATGACTGCATCAAGCAGCTTCGCCCGATAGCACGTCCCGCTTGTATTGCCGCCCCTCTTGATGCCTCGGCAACGACCATTGTGTCATGCTTGTTCGCCTTCGGGCGACCCTTCCTTATTTGGCCCTCGCATAAGTTTGTGCCATGAAACATCTTGTCTCTTAGCAGTGTACTCAGACTTCGAGCGCGGGCCAGGTGGGACGACGATGCCCTCGCTTGTAAGCTGCTGCAGGAATCGAAGGAGACCGTCCATCGCGTGATGGCTCCTGATGGTACCGTGGGCCTGCGCAGTGATTCGGGGTATCGGAAACTCAGCGGGGATGAGGGTGATGAGAGGCAGGGATATCTTCTTCGCGAGTGCGTCGTGGAAGTACGTGCAGCAAGGAGCAGGCCATGCACTGCGTCGACAGCCTTTGCAAGTCCGTCGCCTCCAGGTCCGATCCACCTACGCTGCCGAAGCACTTGCCGCTGCCTATAGCATGGATGAGTGTTGCCCTACCTTTGGTAACGCTGCAAGAGCTCATTAAGGGTCCCGTGAGTCCCTTTGGTTTAAAACGCCTTCGTGAAAACGGTGGGGTCTATACCAAGGTATCCCCACTGCGGTTGCAACCGGATCAGTTAGCAAATCGCTCTCTGGCAAAGTGTTCAAGACACCTACGGAGAATATAATATTGGGGCGTATTCGCTGGTTGAGGGAGTTCTTGGATCCCCGCGTCGTCAACAACGTACAGTTGTGCGACACCCACGACATGCGGCAGATGTTCGCGCCGAGGCTACCATCGATCGGGACCTGCTCCTGCCGGTCATGGCGGGCTGCAGGAACAGGTCATGGGAAGTCAAGTCATGCGCGCCATATCGAAGTAATCAGTTTCCTATTGCCAACTTTTGAGTTCGGTGGCTGCTCAAGCGCCTTGAGGGGCCCTAGAGGTCTGGAACATTGCTCAGCTGTGGCCGTTCTGTGCATAGGGAAAAGGGGCCTTCTTGCTTGCCCCGCACAATGCTTTCGCGGAAACACGACTGCTCAGAAATGAGCGCGTTTCCGCGCTCCTTGAGTTTTTTGTTTTTGTTTTTGTTTTTGTTTTTTTTGCTTCTTCTTTCCCTGGACTCATGAACCGAAGCTGTGTCCGGTTGTCGCGGAGACGCGACCTCCTTCAATGTGTGTTGCACCGATGTTGGATAAGCCACATCGCTCCTTGCCGGGGCATTCAGGACGGACCATCCAGTCCGTCTTGCGTACGTTGTTTTTTGGATTTCTTTTCTGCCCTGGTTCGCTTTGATGTTAGACTGAGCAGCTCATGAAACATATCCCATCTCCTATGATCGACATGTGTGTATATATGTATGTTTCATCGGTGCTCGAAGTTGTTGGCCGTCGATTTCTTGCGCTAGCTTCAGACGCTGCTATGGAGTTATGTGCAAGGTGGCGGCGACCGCGCTTCGCCCCCCCCCCCCCCTACTCGACTTTGAGAGTACGCCCCGACGGCGGGTTCATGTAGCTTGCTCGTCGGCTGCCATTTTGGTCCAAGGCGGCGCCGCCATATCTTCTAATGTGGTGGGCGCCTCCTGCCTCGTCTGCTTGTAGCAGCGGGCAGGATAAAAAGGCCGCGGTTAGCTTGATCCTACCGCCACCACCATCAGTCTCTCGTTTTTTTCTCCCTTCAAGCCTATATCCCAACATGCGATGGTACGTTGGTTTCAAATTTCGCAGGCCTAGAGGTTGACACCAACACCAAGATCGGCGGTGTGCCGCCACCGAGGGAGGACGATCCCGATCTCGGTGATGGTGGTAATATTCTGGCTTCCAGGGTGGCTGAAATATTGCCACCAACACCGACATCTAGGCTCAGTTTCCCCCTGTGGAGGCAAACCCCCCTGTGCTGGTGTTGGTGCCAATTTCCAGGCCTCCGAAAATTGTTGTGGGCCCAGGAACTGGACCATTCATGCGACAAGGTGCGCCGGAGCCCCAAGAAGCCACGCGCCGTGGAACTCAGACGGGGCACTCGTTTTTTTCTCCCTTCAAACCTATATCCCAACATGCGGTGGTACGCTGGTTTCAATTCGTTGTGGGCCCAGAAACTAGACCAGTCATGCGACAAGGTGCGCCGGAGCCCCAAAAGGGCACGCGCCAGGGAGCTCCGACGGGGCACGCGCGGAGCCCCCCAGAGGCTTCCGGAAAAGGCGGGTCTTGGGGCCCTGAGGATCATTCTCAGGAGGGGGCAAAAACACGCGGACACAATGAGTCGTCGATTCCCAGGAAAATATGGGAAACTGTGGGAAGTGGGGGGGAAGACAAGAGCCCAGGAAAATATAAGAGCATATGGGGAATAGTTTTACTTGTGTGTATTCATTTGTGTGTCCTGGGGCCCCTTCACATTCGTCGGGGTGGAAGTCTGAGGTTCGGGGGGTCGGGCAAAGGGCTGGCGGGCACGCCCACTCCGTGCCCACCGGCACGGTGGCGGAGCATGCGCGGTCTATGCATCATCCGCAATGGGGCGGCCCAGGCTCTGGATTTGGAGTGTGTGCCGAAGTCCGTGGTTAGGCTTGCGAGGCTGGTTCGGCATGGCACATGCTCTTCCGTAGGAGTGTACGGCGAAGCCGATCTAATCAGAGCCAGTGTTATCCATTCGCCCGATCACGTTTCTCGACTCACCCAAGTCTTCGCGACTTAATCTTGTGAGCTTGCGCCTTGTTCCCGCTGATTAAGGAATTAGTTTCCCAATCGCACGACATCGTGTCCAGGGGCTTCATGGATTTGGCTGGAATCCCGCGTCGAATCCCAAACTGTCGTTTTCGCGTTGGTGGACTTCGAGAAATCTGGTCGTAGGGGCGTATGGAATTGAAGCCCTGTGTCGCGCCCTCTGGCACAGTATCTGGGCACTCGGCTGGAGTGTGGTGCCCAATTCCGATTCAGCGGCTTGCAGGGGAGGTGCTGGACACACTGGCTCGAGGACCCCCCGCGAGGCCTGCTAGAGATGAGGTGACCTGAAATGGGCAGCTCGCGCATTGGAGGTTTTTGAAAACGTGACCCCGAGGCACAAGAGGACGTGCGGCCCCCGCATCGCGCTTCCTAATGCTGCCGCCTGGGACTCAAGGGACTTGTCATCGTCGGCGCCCTCACCGTCATTATCGTCACCGACTTCACCGTTCTCACCGTCGCCATGGCCCCCCCCGGTGACACAGAAAATGCCATCGCCTCAATTTCTACGTCCATCGAAGTGCATTGTTCATTGCCCGTGCCCGGTCCATTGGAAGCATGTGTCAAGCCAGAGGCAATCATACGGTATGCTGATTTGTGCACCGTGGACGTCCTTACTTCCGCTCCTTTGTGTCTTGCGGACTTGTCCTTTTCATTCATTCAGAACATTATGCTTGGCACATCGCGTGCATTTTTTCGAGAGCAGGGCAAACCAGGCCTCCACTGAAGTTCCCGCCTCCGCCCTTCCTCTGTCGACGCCTCCCTTGGTGGCCTGCTTGGCCACCGCCTCTCCCCGCAGCCTGAGCGGTGCAGCTCAGACCAGGCTGGGTGCACGTGCCCACGCTGCACACCCAGGGGGCAAGGTGGCAGGCGTGCCCAGCGCTGGCGGGGGGCCTGTCGGCGACTGCCCTCTGCTCGTGCTCCGTCGGTGCCCGTGGCCAGTGCGGGCACCGACGAGGAGGAGCAGGAGGAGGAGGAGGATGAGAAAAATGAGCAGGAGGAGGAGGAGAGGAGGAGGAGGAGGAGGAGGAGGAGGAGGAGGAGGAGGAGGAGGAGGAGGAGGAGGAGGAGGAGGAGGGAGGAGGAGAGGAGGAGGAGGAGGAGGAGGAGGAGGAGGAGGAGGAGGAGGAGGAGGAGGAGGAGGGAGGAGAGGAGGAGGAGGAGGAGGAGGAGGAGGAGGAGGAGGAGTGTGGCGCATCGCTGGGCACCTTGCTGGCCTCAAGGGCGCTGGCTCAGGCGCGAGGCCTGGGCGTCGGGGGCGCGCCGGCGATGAAGGCGGGTGCCGCTGCGGCAGCTGCGGCACGGCAGGGCGCAGGAGTGGGGCAGGATGAGGAGAGGAAGCTCCACCTCCTCCTCCTCCTCCTCCTCCTCCTGATGGATTCCCTTCGGGGATCATCCGTTAAAATTGGAACGATACAGTGAAGATTAGCATGGCCCTGCGCAAGGATGACACGCACAAATCGAGAAGTGTATACAATTCGCGTGTCGTTTGCTCCTCCTCCTCCTGATGAGAATATCGGCGACCTCGCAAGTAGACCCCTGGCTTCGGCGCAGCACGAGCCTCGGCATGAATCTCAGTCTTCTCGGTGTTTCTCCCCTCGAGTCGTGTCCCTTTTTTTGCTGGTCGCTTCCCCCAGGGGAGTGGCGACTGAGGGGGTGGGGAAGGGAGCTTCCCTTCTCGCCCCTACGCCCACATCGGCTGAAGCGTGGAACGGATGGTAGATAGGGCGACCAGTCGCCCGCTCGCGCGGGGCCCCCAAACTAGGCGAGTGACAAACTTTTTGATCCGCGGGTCGAGAGCGCACCTCTTCCGGTCGAAGCTAAGCGGGCCGCGCACAGCTTGAATTGACAGAGGGGGGAAGGCGGAAGGAGGGGCCTCACGTCAAGGCGATTGACAAACATGCGCCGCGGCGAGGCGGGAACGCCACTCGCAGGCGAAGTCTGCGCGGCGCAGAGGCGAGAACGACGTTTTTGGCCGCTCGCGCGTGGACGAGTTGGCGTGCGGCAGCTAGGCGCCGCGCCGGAGCGGGAGCTCGATCCTCAGGAAATGAGGACGGCGCCGAGGCGAGCGAGCGACACTGCGCCCTTTCGCGCAGGGTGTGCGCGCCGTCCCAATCGCGCGACGCATGGTGCCACGTCGACGCCAATACGTCCATCTTGAGAGAGCTGCAATGTCGACACGATGTTATTTGTATTAGCAGACTGGAGCCCTTATGGTCTGGCTAGGTGGCGAGCTTGGGGTATATACGAGTAATGGGTAGTGATACGAAGGTGAGGACGAGGAGGATGGACAGCAGGAGGAGGACGAGGACAAGGAGGGAAATGATGAGGAGGAGGAAGAGGAGGACGAGGAGGAGGAGGACCAGAGGGAGAGTAGGCGATAGAGAGGGACCAGGGACAAACGAGGTACAGGAGGGTTACGAACATGAGGATGATGAGGACGGGGGTCATGAGGAACGGGATGGAAGAAGGCTGAAGGCATTCGGCTTAAGCAATTAGGCTCCAGATGAGGGCTCAAGGCTCCCGACATCTTTGCTTCCGTTATCAGCATCAGTTGCGCGGCTGTTGGTTTCGGCCATGGCTTTTTCGTGTAACAGGCAAGGGCGCTTTCTCTCGTGAGAGGATTTGGATCGAGGACTTTGCTTACTACATTGTTCTCGATGGCATCACTTGCAGCCACTCTCGTGTCATGGAACGCTCAGAGGAGACATCCATTTCGCATGAAGCACGTCTTTCGATGTATGAGGGCTCACTACGGGGAGCGAATTATTACAGGTCTCAAGTATGGGTCCAAATTGCCATTGAGCGCTGGCCGCCACTTCGCATGCTGGACGCATTTAGGCAAGACATGCACAATCATTATGCTGGTTGCTTTGGCTGCCAAAGTGAATTGGCATGAGCATGTCGACCACTACAGCAATGTTGCAGTGGAGGATTCTACTTCTTTTTTTCGGCATCTGACCGCTTACCGGCTCCATTCTACAGTGGACCTGGGCTTGCGTTTTTCTATGTGCTGATTCCGTTGTTGCCAACTCAGGGGGAAGTTCGAACAAGTTCTCTCTCATGGGCACCAACTTCCCTTTTAGCCGCGATGTTGCCGATATTATTGGAAATAGTCGGCTCTCGCATCCTGGGCAGTCGGAGCGGGCACGCCTCGATATCATTGCCTCCCTGGTCATATTTGGCATGGCTTTGGAGAACACGTTTCTGGAAGTAACCGATCTCTTTCTCTTCGTTGCGAGGCCAGGCCAGAATTGGACCGCAAGGGCTGAGACGCAGATTTACCATATTGCGTCCAATTTGAGGGGCAGAATGTCAGCTTACGCTGATCAGGTTGTCGATGCCGACTTTCGCATTGAGCTCCGATTCTTCCATCATTGCCCTGTTGTTGCCATCCGGGGTCAGGACATGGCCGAGTGCGTCTCTTTCCGTGGGCCAGAGCTGTCGGCGAGAATCACGGCGCAACCCCGCTCGGACTACTCATTGGCGTGCTCAGGCTTTTTCAGTTGCGACTTGCGACTACGTTGGCGGGTGTGTGCGGGCCACGCAGAGCTCTGTCGACGATGTAGCAGATCACCTCGAGTCTCCTTCCCTCGGGCCCGCCTGCCCCCGCAGTCTTGCATCAGGAGAAGATTTGGCTCACAGCAGGAACACTTTGCTGAGAATGATCGGCAGGCCCTTTTGGGGATCTATTCCACCAGTTGAATTCATTATGGGAGGTGCTCCTTCCGCTGATCGGAGTGCATGGGCGGCTGAGCTTAAGCGCGCTGCGGAGACCAAGTTTCGCTCCAGCGCGGGCGACCAAGATCGGCTCCAGGAAATGGTGGAACGTTTCCGGGGTGGTGGCTGCCAGTGAGAAGCCAAGAAAGACGATCGTCTTAGTCCTCGATGATTTTGTTTGGGTGCTGACCTCGATGTCGACCAAGTCAAGTCCAGGGCCAGGCGAAAACTTACCCAACGCGTGGACGATGGCGCCTGTGTGGTTTGAGCCGAAGGTCTCCCACCTTTTGCGGCGACGCTGGTTTGATTACACTTGGCCAGAACAGGCTACGGCAACTTGGGGCCCACATGTGGTACGAGGGATTCTGGACATGCGGGCTGCGTCCACACTGGGTGACTTAAGATGGACAGGACGCATCGTCCATGTTTTCAGGCTTTACGATGCGTGGTCTTTGGTTTCGATTCCAGCGGTCGTGCTCCAAATCTTGACGTCTTTTGCATTCGGCTATCATTGGAACCATTATGTTGGGGATTTCTTCGGACAGTTGTCGAGCGTGTTTGATACGCTTCTCGATGGAAAGATGCTGACCTAGTTTGTTCTGTCTCATAGGACGGTTATTCACAGTTGTATATTCAAACACGTATATATAATAATCATAAGGCTGTGCATACGTTCCGATATTGCACAGACGTGCTGGTTTCACACGACGCTGTCCGTTTCGTGGATGGTCTGGGCGTTTACCTTTCCCAGGGCGCCACGTACTTGCATGCTTCGAAGATGAGTCGGAACGTGCCTGGTGCACAGGCCACGCTTGATATCCCACGGCCTGCCCAGCACGGTCTCACGAATCGATTTCGGGCTCTGGGGACGGGCGGCAGGACCGCCCCAGAGAAGTGCGTCCAGATGATCGACGAAGCTGTGTCGGGGTGCGCTCTGGAGTGGGGCGCCGCGGCCAGGGGGCTCCAGCTGCCAGATTCCGGCAGGCGGTTCGCAGAACCAAGTCGGATGGAGCACGTTTTCTCATTATTGCGGTCCCGGGCCGCGGCCTTCACGGCATCCGCGCTCACAGACGCATTGACCGACCCATTTGGTTGGAAGGGGAATCCAGAATCAGCGGAACTACTCGCAGGAGAGGGCTCGCCCGTTCTGGCCTCCCGTGTTGTTCGTGCTTCCACGGCCGCCGTGGCCTCGCGGTGAAAAACCGCATCGAAGTCTTCGGAGGTCTTGTAGGTAACGATCATCCCCAACAGGCTCTCTTGCCAAGGCGCGCATCGTTTTGTTTTAACGGGCTTCCGAGGCACTTCAGACGCAAAGCGCCACTGCATCCAGTTGCAGGCTTACTCGTCGGTGCCCCGGGCAATTGTTTCTTCCCTTTTCCCAATACGGAAGTGGGCGTGGAAGCGACTCGGGATGCTCATCCTCCTGCGGCAGGATCGCACCCAAACCAGACATGTTTTTTTTGGCGGCGACGGCGCTCCAGCTGGGCGAATGGTCGAAGCATGCAAGGTTTCAGCCGGTCCGTTTGTTCGTGCTCAGGCAGGCCTATGCGACCTGATGGCGGGGGAAGTCTTCGGCCGAGTTGGCTGCGTTGGCGCGGCGTGACCGACCCCGTGAGGCGTGGCCCCCGCAGACGGCGGTGCCGCGGGGCCAGGAAGGACGGCGGGTGCTTCTCAGGCGGGGCAGAGCAAACGGGGATCCGTGGCGAGATCCTGCTGGGCCGTGTAGGGCGACGAGCGGAGGCGTCGTCTTGATAGTGGGAGGGGTCACCAGGATTGGCTGCGAGACAGGGGCGACTTTGCAGACCGTGCGCTCGCCGTTCTCGGTCGCCCCGGACTTCAGGTCGACAGTGCACGCGTTGCTGCGTCTCCCGCTTGTGCTCGCGGGCCTGAGCCGCAGCGCGATGAGTTGACCTTGGGGGGCCTCCCTTTGCCATTGGTCTTGCAGGGGGGCGCACTTTGCAGCTTGCCGCCCTTTTCCATGCGGATGTGGCCTGCAGCAGCCCAGTCATCGAGCCACTCGCCTCCAGGGTGCGGGGTGCCTCTGCGTCTTTCTACAGCGAGGTCTTCGCTCGCAGGGGCGACGTGTGACCTCGCGCGATTGGGGGGCGAGGGCGTTCCATGAAACCGTTGATGCTTTGTGCAGCGCCGCCACCGGAACTCGCAGCAACGCCCCTTCTGAAGGGTGCCCGGGCCCCGCCGCGGAGCCGAACGGTGCGAGAGCCTTGCAGATCTTCTCCGGCGGTGGCCTTCAAGGTAACGCGGTCGCTGCTGCCTGGGCTGCTTTCGCTGTCCATCCGCGCGCCCGAATGCCCCCTCAATCTTAGCGGCCGACGCCGTGCTCCTCCCTGATCAAGACTCCGCTTTTCTATGGGACGCCATCGCTGCGGACAGAGCAGTCCGAGCAGCCACTTCCGTATCTTGGATGGTGAGGCCCTGGTCACGCAAGCGGCCTAGATTTGAAGAGTAACCTCAGCTGCGTCGTCCCGTCGTCTTTCAGCGAAGAAATTGAAATTCGCACGTCTGAATTGGCGGTTTCATTGCCACATTTGCTTTGATTCTCGCGCCCCCAGGACGGTCCAAGTACCATGGTGTTTCACTTAAGACGTGCACAGTAGTGCTGATTATGGTGATGATGACGATGATGATGATGCTGCTGCTGCTGCTGATGATGATGATGATGATGATGATGATGATGATGATGATGATGATAGCAATGATGGTGATCGTTGTGACTATGCTGACGGGAAGAGGGTGTTGTGGAGCATGAAAATGACGGAGAGCAGGAGGTGCTCGAGGAGAGAGTAGGAGGAGTCAGAATGGGAGGAGGAGTGGGAGGAGAAAAGGACGGGAAATGGGTGAGTAATGAGGAGGAGGGAGAAAAGGGGTGGATGAGATGAGAAGGAGATGGGGTCGAATCATGATGATGCTGATGATGATGATGCAGATGATGATGATGATGAGGATGCGGATGCTGATGCTGATGATGATGCTGATGATGATGCTGATGATGAGGGCGATGACGACGATGACTCTTGACGACGTCGACGATGGCGATGATGCTGATGATGATGCTGATGGTGTTGTTGCTGATGATGATAATGATGACGATGCTGATGATGATGATGATGATGATGATGATGATGATGATGATGATGATGATGATGATGATGATGATAACGATGATGACGATGATGATGATGATGATGATGACGACGACGACGATGATGATGATGATGATGATGATGATGATGAGGATGAGGATGATGATGATGATGATGATGATGCTGCTGATGATGATATGATGTGATGATGCGACTGCTGATGATGCTGCTGATGATGGTGATGGTGATGGTGATGGTGATGGTGATGGTGATGGTGATGGTGACCGGGATGAGGAGATGGGTGGAAGAAGAAGAAGGGATAACAACAGAAGAAGGAGGATGGATACTGGAGGAGGCAAAGTAGGGCCCGGGCTTCTCTCCGTGGAGCAACCCGCAGGAGCGCCGAGATCGGCGGCAAAAGCAGACAATGCCCTGGCAGCTTTGCCAGGCAGCAGGGCCGCAACTTCTTCGTCGTCCCCAGGTGGGAGAGGAGGGAGAGGAGTTTTTGCCTTGTTGAGCTCTCACTCATGGAATACCCAATCTTGATCCCAGCTGTCCGGCTCGCATCCTGTTTTTCATTGAAAAGTCCCCTCAGCGTTCTGACTCTATCTTTATCAGGGAAGGTCTTCCTGCTCAGTCTGCGATGTTGGCCCCTGGGCTACAGCAACAGCGGCTCCCGCCTGATACGTCGCCCGAGAGTATATTAAACCGCGTTCTCGCCCGAGATTTCCCCACAATCTTAGGCATCGCGCTTTCGCCTAGGACTTCAGAAATCTCGCTCTCGCACGAGACTTCCCGACAATTTTCTGATGACTACAGCTCTCGCCTGAGACGCCTGCGCAATGTATCAATTTCGCTTCCATGCCCCGCCCGCCCGACCCGCCCGTTATGCCCCGAATTTAAAAATAGTCAAAAAATAGTCTGGGGACTATTTTTAGAGTTTTTTTTTTTTTTTTTTTTTTTTTTTTTTTTTTTTTAATATTATTTTTCGCCCAAAATTCCCCTGTAGGGGGATAGGGTCCGCCCGCTCGCCTGCCTGGGAGCCCACCCACTCGTTCGCTCGCATTTACCGCCCAAGCCGCCCGTTAGGTTCCACCCCGCCGGCCCGCCCGTTGGGATCTGCCTGTCAGGTCTGCCCGTTGGGGTCCGCCCGCCCGACGTGCCCGTCAGGATCCGCCTGCTCGCGTGCTTGGAAACGCGCCTGCTTGAATGCCTGTCAGGGTCCGCCCGCCCGACCCGCCTGTCTGGGCAGGCCCGCCCGTCAGGATCTGCTTCTCAAAACTGTTGTGCGTCTCTCCTCGCCCTCGTGCTAAGTCCTCTTTGCCCTGAATCCTCCTCGCTTCCTCTGCCTCCCCCTCGCTTCTGGCTTCCTCATTTCGTCAACCTCTCCCTTTCATGGGCTGCACCAAGGACACATGGCAGGCAGGGGGCCTCTACCCACAGAGAAAGTACGATCGACGACGAAGAGGGCGGGCATCGAGGGCTTGGGTATACATTGTGAATGACACACGGGCGACGAACAGTAAACAGGCTTAAGCATATGGTCGGCGATTTGTAGTACTTGGTTCACGCATGGAGGCCCTTCTCGCGCCGAGATCCTGGAACGGTCTTACCTGCTCCAGTTGTCCACACGTGACATGTAGCCGTTGAACTACTTCTCTTCATTGCGCTTGTGATAGTAGCGCCGGCGGCGATAGCCGCTCTCAGATCTGTCGCTCTCTCAGACTGCGGGCTAGAGCGATCAACCAACGGACCACATCATCTCAACTTTGCCGAACAGACCGTCCAACATATCACTGCGCTTCCGATGCGTGCGAATAGTTCGGATCGGATTATGGGCAATGTGCGCAAGTCTTGGCTGCAACTGGATGAAGGCGGCAGCCGAAGCTCTGTCAGAAATCGTGCCATGCGGACAGCACTTTGGCGTTGCGTCGCGGCAGGCAAAGGATGCCCAATGTGCGCGCCTTCCGAGTGGCACGCGTGAGCCGGGTCGCCCTATCTGCCGCCCTTCGATTCCTCTCGCTTTCCGCCTCCCCCTCGTCGTCTCCTGCCGCGGTGCCTCCCGCTCCCCCACACCACGTTCTAGTTTTGTTGTTTTTGTTTGTTTGCTTCGCTGTTCTTATTTCTCTCTTATGCCTTCCCCGTTATCCACTGATCGTCGTGATTTTCCCTCCTTCCTCTTCCCTCCTCCTCGCCCCCCACTCGTCCGTCCAAGTCTTGTCTGGCCTGAGAGTATAACAACCAACCGCGATCGTGCCGTGCCAGGAGCCTGTACGGTGTGCGACACCGTTGCGTTCCCGCATGCCACGCGGGTTTTCAGGAATTCTGGCATCGATTTTCGTGACGTGCTTTTCCAATGGTCCCTGGCCAGGTATCACGCGTCAGTGCTTCCGCCTGAGGAAATATGTGCAACATCCATGTGATCTGCCGCGCATATCCGCCTCCGCGGTTGCGGGAGCTGCGCAGTGTAGGAGGAGGAGGAGGAGGAGGAGGAGGAGGAGGAGGAGGAGGAGGAAGAGGAGGGGGAAGCGTAGTAGGCCGACGATCGGGGGGGACTCGTAGTCTCCTCCACAGAAACTGTCCCACAGCGAGTGCATCCCGCAGCGTACGCCAAATAGACTGCCCCACATGGCTTGCGCCGCACAGTTTGCATCGCATAATTTGCGCCGCGTATATGACACGACACACGTGATGTGCGACACACTTTGCGCATCGTTATCGCGAGATCATGCGGTTTCTACGTTGGCCAACAAACGTGACACGCATAACTTCGACGGACCCGGCGTTCGGCATTCCGGCACGGGAGCCTTGCGGGCGCGGGCGTTCCAAAGTTGGAGTGCCCGTGCCGTTTTCGAGGTGCCCTTTCGTCGAGGGGCTTCTTTGAGAGCGTACTGAGAGCAACCACCCAGTCTGGGTCGTGGACGAGAGGCGACTCTGGGAGACTTTGTTGTGATCTCTTGGGAAGCATTTGTGCGACATCCTGGGGTGCTTCTTGGGCGTCTGTGGGCGTCTGTCCTGTGGCCCTCTTGGGGGCCTCCTGGGGGTCTCCTGTGCCGTCTTGTGGGGTCCAGTTTCGAGACTTTTGGTCCGTCGTGGGCTTCGGAAGCCTTGAGAGGCGCCAACACTGAAATATTTCAAACACTTTTGGAAAGCCAATGGCTTTAATATCTTCGTGCCCTCCTGAGGCTTCCCTTGAAGGATTTTTGGGTCGTCGTCAGGACCTCTTGGTCCGTCTTGTGGCCATCATGGCTGTTTTTGATGCTATCTTGGCCCGTCGTGGAGTCTAATTAGGACCACGCTGTCCCACTTGGAGGCCATCTTGGCCGTTCCAGAGGCCGGAAAGGGGGCCGTTTGGGTAATTTTCAGGACCTCCTGCGTCTTGGGGGCCTCTTGGGGGCCTGTCTGGGAGGCCTCTTGGGCCGTCGGGGGAGCAGGGACGCTCAAAGCGCCAACGCTGAAATTTGCCCAAGTACATGGAAGTCCACCACTGATTTTTGCATCTTCGGGCATTCCTGAGGGTCCTCTTGGAGGCCTCTTGGGGGTGTCTTTGGGCGCCTTCTGGTCCGTCTTAGGGTCATCGTAGCCGTCTTTCGAAGCCATCCTGGACCGTCGTAGACAACACAGGGCCATCTTGTCCGACGTGGAAACAGTCTTGGCCGTCTTGGAATCCAGGAGTGGCCATCTTGGCTTTCTTGGACAGGCTCTATATGCCGCCGTTGGGCGGGGGAGGTGGGCGGATACCACGCATGTAGCCTCCCGACAATCGGTTTTTGGTATAATTTTCTGATGGGGATGCCCAAGACGCATGGACTTGGTTCAACACGTGAATGCGTGCTGGGTTGGATGCGCAAGGGAGCTCCAAGTATTGCTCCGTTGTTCCGCAAGAAGCGCAACTAACGAAACAAAAGCAAGGGCCGAGCAGACACAGACATACACAGAAACACACAGACGCACACACCACACACCACACACACGCACACACACACACGCACACACACACGCACGCACGCACGCACGCACGCACGCACGCACACACGCGCACTCACACACGCGCACGCACGCACGCACCCACAAGCACACAAAAGCACACGCACGCACCCACGCACGCACCCACGCACGCGAACGCACGCACGCACGCAGGCACGCACGCACGCACGCAGGCACGCACGCAACACGTAATACGCAACACACAGCGAACACTACATAACACACAACACACAGCACACAACACACACAACACGCGCAACACACAATACATTACACACAACACAATCTACAACACACAAATCACAACACACACACACACCGCAACACACGACACACAACACAGCACACAATACACAACATATACACACAACACACAACACACAACACACAATACGACACAACACACACCACACATCACACAACACACAACACACACCACAACACGCATAACACACAATGCACAACACATGACACACAACACACACACCACACAACACACAACACATAACACAAAACACACAACACATAACATACAACACACACAACATACAACAGACCACACACACACACGACACACACACACACACACCCACACACCCACGCGCACACGCTTTTTAAAGTCGGTGGCTGGGCAGAGTCACTGCGCTCGCGATGGAGCGTTCGTGGGACGCACAGAACGCGAATTGTGCCGCAAGGCACGGCGGAGAGAGGGAGGCCGCCCGGTGCGGGCAGGAGGGAGAAGGACGCCTGGCCCGCTCAGAGCGGGGCCAGGCGGCGGTGGGGGGAGCGCCGGGAGCGGGGACCAGCGGCAGCGAGGCGGCGTCTGGGGGGTAGGCAGGGCAGGGCGGCCGCCGGAGGCAGCGCCCAGGGGGTGGGGGGTGGCAGTGATGAGATTTGTGGGACAGTGAGCTTGTGGGTGAAAACAGCTATATATGTATGTGTATACATATATATACATATACAGATTGGATTTCAGCTTCGCTGAGATTTTGCGCGCGCGCACATGCGCGCGCACGCGCGCATTCACACCCGCATTCACGCACAATCATACAATCACACAATCACACACGCACACACAAATGCAAACACACACACGCACGCACACACGCACACACGCAAACAGCACAAACACACACACACGTACGCAAATGCGCACACACACGCAAGCGCACACGCGCGCACACAGACACATGTACACAAATACAGACACACAGACACACACACAAACACACACAAGCATAGGCAGACAGACAGACACACACACACACATCCAGACAGACAGACACACACACACACACGCACAGACACACGCAGACGCACAAACAGACACACACACAGACACACGTAGACACACAGACACACGCACACAGTCACACACACACAAAGACACACACACGCACACACACACGCACACACAAATACACGCGCACACGCACACGCCCCCCACATTCTTTACATACGTACGCACACACACACGCGCCAAGCGGCGTGTGCTGTGATATGATATGATGTGATGTGATGTGCTGTGCTGTGTTGTGATGTCCTGTGCTGGACTCGCGCACACGCGCAGGCGCGGTTTCGTTGTGTCCTGGAGCGATTTGACGCGCATTGCGCGCGTGGCCGTTTTTGGATGCCTTCGGATCCCCTGGACATTCGCGCTCGCTCGCGCACTGCGCGGCTGTGCTGTGCTGCGCTGCGTCGTACTGCACTGCGGCCGTGGCCATGTGAGCGCTGCCGGCGAGGTGTGCTTGCATCTCTCCTCTCCCCCTTCCCCTTCCAGCCCCCCTCCCCACCTGCCTGCCTCCCCCCATCCCCCCCTCTCTTTCCCGTCCTTCCCTCTCCTCCTGTTCCTCCCCTCCTGTCTCTCTCCCTCCGCTTCCGCCTCCCTTCGTTCGTTGTCCTTCCTCTTCCGGGTCGATGGCATAGCCCCTGGGGCTTCGCTCAAGTACGCTGACGCGGATGAGGCCTGCGGCTCGTCGGGAGCTTCTCCCGATTGATTACGTGGATCCCTCCGCCCTTCTCCCCCTTTTCGAACGCGCGCGCACGAGTGGCTCAAGGCGCGCTCTCTCACCCACTCGCGTTCCTACATGCTACCGAAAGCCTTGTGCGGAGTCGCGTGGTGTAGGTGCCGCCCCAACACGCCAAACGGAACGGACACACCCTTCCTCGCCCAGACGGCGGGCACACAGCACGAGCTGCATGCAGCGCTGAGCTTGCAGCACCGTGGTTGTGATGCGACGCGCGTGTTTGGCAAAGAAGGCTGGGTCGACCAGTGCATTGATGGGGCCGATCTTGGCGGTTGGGTGCATTTAGTGCAGCGTGCCGCGGTGTGTATATTGGTGGAGGGTGGCTGCACAGCGAACGGTGCCGCACCCACGTGCCGCCCCCTCATCCACCACCGCCTGTATTGCTTGCCTCGGCGTGCGGCCTGGCTTGAGACGGTGTGTGGATACGGCGCCCCGCTTATGGCGGGCGACGAACGAACGAACACGCACGCACGCACACTTGGACACAAACACGCATGCACACACGCACGCGCACGCACGCGCACGCAAACACACACACACACACACTCACACACACACACACACGCTCACGAACACACGAATGCACACACGCATCCACGCACGCACACTCGCACACACGCACACTTGGACACAAACACGCATGCACACACGCACGCACGCACGCACGAGCGCAGGCACGCGCACACACAACACATAACACACAACACACAACACATAACACACAACGCACAATGCACAACACACAACACACAACACACAACACACAACACACACAACACACAACACAACACACACACACACACACCATACACAACACACACAACACACAACGCACAGCACACACACACACACCACTCGCACAGCGCACACTTTCCACACACGCGCGCGCACACATATATACAAATATACGTACATACACAAGCGCACACAAGCACACGCACACACGCACACACAAACACATTCCCATTCGTTCACACAGTCACACGCGCGCGCACACTCGCACGCACTCGTGTAAACATCAACTCGTGCAAGAGTGGTGGTGTATCGTACGCGACATAAGTTTCTGTGCGCACCCAAGTAATTGTTGAATCATTGCGGTTGTCACGTATGTGCGTGTGCATTTGTTTCACGGCACGGTGGCAACTCATTTCGATTTCCCCTCACTTTTTCCCCTGCGTTGGCTTCCGCATCATTCTTTGTGTTTTTGTCTCCATGCTTCAGGCAATGCGTCCACCGAAGAAGACGACGATGAAGAGGACACATATGATTTGGATTCCGACGAGTCCACCACCGAGCAGGCCCCCCGTTGGGGATTGCGAGGGGAGGCGTGGTAGGGTGGGAGGGTGGGGGACAGGAGGCGATGGAAAGCGAACGGGCGAACGTGTTTTGTGTGACGCATCTTGCTTTTGCCAAGCAGGTGTAAGACGTTATCGAATCCGTACCGGTGTGCGTTTCTGTGAATGCAAGTTTTTCATATTTGTTCGTGCAAAGTGTTGGTTGGTTCGTTCGTGGTTCCCGTGTGTACGCGATGTAACAATGTGTTTACGAGAGAGAAGCAGAGACAAAAAACGAAACGGAAAGAGGGAGAGAGTAAGAAAGAGAGCAAGAGACACAGAGAGAGAGAGAGAGAGAGTCAGAGAGAGAAATAATGAGAAACATGCAAAATGTCAGAGAGAGAGAGAGAGAGACAGATATGGAGAGATACAAGGGACATAATCACACCTACCCACAGACACATACACATATACATATATACATATTTATATATATATATACCACAAATTTTTTTTCATTCTCTCTATGTCTCTTTCTCTCTCTCTCTCTCTCTCTCTACAGTACTAGAGAGAGAGAGAGAATACATAGAGAGGAGAGAGATAGATAAGAGAGAGAGAAATATAAAGAGGTGTGTGTGTATATACATATATATATATAGATAGAGAGAGAGAGAGAGAGAGAGAGAGAGAGAGAGAGAGAGAGAGAGAGAGAGAGAGAGAGAGATCGCAGAGAGAGAGAGAAAGAGAGAGAGAGAGAGAGAGAGAGAGAGAGAAAGAGAGAGAGAGAGAGAGAGAGAAAGAGAGAGAGAGAGAGAGAGCGAGAGAGACAGAGATATGGGGAGAGGGAGGGAGAGGGAGGGAGAGACAGAGACAGGGACGGAGAGACGGAGTGGACACTCGAGATGCTTGACCGCGGATGCGGCGGCTCTTGACGAAGCGGCCCAGGCCATGGCCAGCTCAATTCGCCACGAGGAAGAGACTGCCCCCGCCGGGGCGACTCGGGCTTCGCAGAGGAACGGATCTGGCAGCAGGCGCGTCAAAGAAGAAGCGGGGCGGCCAGCAGGTGCCCCGCGGCAGTCTCCTGCCCCCCCGGCGGCCCCCGGGGAGCCGCAGAAGCTCCGGGGGCACCTCCGGGCTCCAGAGGTCACCTCCCACCAAACCACCCCAAAGCCCAACCCGAAGGCTCAGATCTACCCTCGATTTCCAGTGGGGGGGGGGTCGGGAAACATCGAAAAAACACATGTGGAACCCTTATCCCCCCCAACCCGAAATTCGGGTCGTCGGGTTGGGTTGGGGTGGTCTGGTAGGTAGTCACAAGATTCGGCGGGGAATGTGCGCCCGCATCTCTCGTGGCGAGACTTCCTTTCGTCGGGCGTCGACCACGTCCGCCAAACCGGCTGCCCCCGCCCCTCCTCGCCCTTCCGCGGCGGCCGCGCGCGTGCTGCGCGACCCGCTGTGCGCCCCCTGCCCCGCGACCTCAGGAGGAGGAGGAGGAGGAGGAGGAGGAGGAGGAGGAGGAGGAGGAGGAGGAGGAGGAGGAGGAGGAGGAGGAGGAGGAGGAGCAGGAGGAGGCAGGGGGCGTCGTGCCGGCGCTCCTGCCTCGGCGGGCGCCCGTGGGTTGCGTGGCCGTGCGTGGGGGTGGCGTCTTCTTACGGAGAGTCCGTGCCCCCTCCGTGCCACTTCCGCTTCGCCCTCGTGCCCCTGCGGCCGTTGTGCTCTGATGGCGCTGGGCCCATGGAGGACGCTGGTCAGGAGGAAAAGGGACACACAGACACAGTTAATCGTCGATTCCCCAGAGCATGTGGGAAGATGTGGGAAGTGGGGGGGAAGGCAAGAACCCAGAAAATATTGGGGAATATGGGGAATCCGGTTATTTGTGTGCATTTATTTGTGTGTCCCAGGGCCCCTTCAGTTGGGCGTACTCGAATGGAGGCGGAACGAAAGTGGAACGAAAGGAAACGCCTAGGCGTAACGCGAAGGATCCCCTGAGCGGCTACACAACGGCGGGCAGCACGCTTGCCGAGCGCGGGTCTGGCTCGAGAGAGAAGATCTCTTCCGTGAGCCAAGCCGGATTCGGATCTCCCCCCCTCCTCCCACCTAATCCTCCTCCGCATCCTCCCTCCGTCCTCCGTCCTCCGAAGGGTCTCCTTCTGGACTCATCCTTATCCTCGGGGTATCCTCATCATTCTTCCTTCCTCTCGTTCTTTGAGTTCCTCTCCTCCTTGTCCTTCTCTTCACATTATTGAGGAGATCTCCGTCCTCCGCGGTATCCAACATCCTGTCATGCTTGCTTGATTTTTTTGTTTAGAGAGGCTGCGTATCTATGTTTTGCGAACTGGCGCGTGTGTGTGTGTGTGTGTGTGTGCTTTGCTCGTCAGGCACGACTTTCTGTGGACGCCAGCTCCTGCCCCTCGATTCGAAAGCTATGACGAGCGCGCGGTACGGTGGGAGCCTGGGGAAGACCAGCGCAGTCCGTTGCACTCCGAGAGCACGGCGCAGGATGCGCAAGCACATTGACATGCGTGGCGCGCGAAAGGATCTGCCTTCAGATCGCGTCTCGGGACGGAGAAAAACGCTGGCCCGCCTCAGGCATCTTGGTTCTGGAGCGCAGCTAGCAGCCTGCTCTACAAGGCGCACGACCCCATGGATCTGGACGCGCGGAGCATCGAGAACGAGATCCGAAGGCACATGGAGAACCCCACCATTGGGCCTCGCTGGTTCTGGCAGTACCAGCTGGAGTGCCACAGGATCTACTTGGGAAGCCTCGTGACCGGCCTCGTGATTATCCCGCGGCCTTCGGCACCTCCCACCCCAGACCCCCGATGTCATGATTTTTTCATGACGCGACCCCCAGAGGTCCCGACCCCTTCCCCGGGACCGGTTTTTCATCCTGAGTCGTTTTCTGACGGTCCCGAGTCCCGGTATGGGCCCCCAGAGGCCGAAAGTAGCGAAAAACCTCCCGTCGTGATTTTTTCATGACGCGAGGGGGTCGGGGACCGCCGTGCCCCCGGTCGTGGACCAGAGCCGGCGGCAGGCCCAGGGGGGAAAGCAGGGGGGGCGGGCCCTCTCAGAAGGCTCGGGGGGCCTCGGGCCTTCCGAAGCCAGAGATCCGACGCTCCCCAAAACACATCGGAGCGACGGGATTTTGGTAATTTTCGGCCTCCGGGGGCCCTCGCAGGGCCTTGGGATAGGGCGACGAGATCTATACATATCCACTGCTCCTGGCCAGGTCCATCCTGGGCCCAGGAGCGGTGTATATGCCTCCCTGGCCAGGCCAGGAGGGCGTATACACCGCTCCTGGGCCCAGGATTGGCCTGGCCAGGAGCAGTGGATATGTATAGATCTCGTCGCCCGAGCGTTTGAGAAAATGACTCGGGACGAAAAACCGACCACGGGGAAGTGGTCTGGACCTCCGGGGCCGACGCATCGGACAGATTGTAGCTGCCAGGGGTCTGGGTCAGCCTTCTCCGCAGACGCAGAGCACTTTTTTCACAGGGCCGGAGGTCTTCTGCGAAGCCCCGCCGCCTTCGAGAAGGCCTGCCCTCTCCCCCTCCCCTCCCAGGGCGCGCTGCCGACAGGCCGCCTTCTGCAGGTCTCCCAGGGCCCCCCCGCCAGACATGCGGCGGCCTGTGCCTTCTGCGAGGCCCAGGCGCCGGACCTCCCGGCGCCCAGCCCCAGGGCCGTGTTCTGTCTGTTTGTGGCTCCCCGCGTCCTTCTTGCTAACTTGCATGCTGGCCAATTGGCCATCCGGTTGCCCCGAATTGCCGCGCGCTGGAGCGGAGCGCCTCTGCCTCGCCGCCGACGGAGAAGTCTGTGGCTCCCGGTGGCCGCGGGGCCCAGCTGCCGCTGCAGCAGCTGCGGCAGCACCTGGGCTGCCCAGCCGGCGGAACCCGTATCCCGCCCTCGCCGACCAAGGATTCGGGCAGCTCGGTGGGCGCCAGGGCCAGGGTCCAGAAGTCGTCGAACACGTGGGCGAAGTCCGAACCCTGCCCTCGCCATCCATGTGATCGTTTTCCTTTTCGTCGCTTTGCCGATCGACGCGGGCGCTCGCACCCCCCCCTTCACCCTGCCGCATGGTGTAGGTCTCGGCTGCTTTTTGGCGCCTGCGTTGAGCTGGTGGAGTCTCCCCCATGGGACGCACTGCAGCAAACAGTCGCACTAAGCAGAGGTCCAGAGCCAGACCCTGATCCGCTCGCTCTCGAGCTAGATCACTGGGCTTCGGCTGTGCGGAGAAGGTGCAGCAGGCCGAGCGCTGCCGCGGCGGGTGCCGGCTTCCAGGCGGAGCCCGTCATCGCACTCTGGGCCATCGCCCGCAGGGCGAGGGGCTGCGCTGCCAGGCAGCGTGGAGACCGCTCGGTGTCCCCCGACTCGGACGATAAGGCCTCCGCATCGGTGAACGTGTGCCACGGGCTGAAGAGTCGCGGATTCAACGGTTCGCCGTTGGAGCACCTGCTGCATGCGGCGTTCCTTCGGCAGCTGCTCTGGCGCAGCCGCCGCGAAGCCAGCCACGGGCAGCTCGCGTGGGTCACGGGCGAGCTGCAGAAATGTTCCGAGCCGCTACAGAGGTCGCCGGACGCCATTCTGCACCCGCTTCAACAGGGTCAGACGTTCCAGTTGTTCGCGCATTTCGTCAGCTGCTGGTGGGCAAGGGCGCTGTCCCAGTTCGCGATGCAGGCGGACCTCAACAGCGAGGCCGGCACTTTCGAGTGGTTGCTGAGGCTCTCCCTCGACTTGTGGCACATGGAGCCTCTCGGGGTCACGGTCGCGTGCGATTGCGACCGCCAAGAGTGGCTCCGCCTTGGCGCGCAGGTCGAGAACAAGGAACCCTCGGTGGACCCTCGCGTCAGCTTTGCGGAAATCGCCCACGCCCTTCGCAGCGACGTGAAGGAGCAGCGCCGCAGGGCGAAGCAGGCTGGCGAGGGTTAGAGCCGCGGCGGCTGGGGCGCAGGCCAGGGCTCGCAGGCGCGCGAGCCAGCCTGTACGGGGACGCGCGCCGACGGTGTTGCCGCCGCCGCAACCGCCGCCCTCGGCCCAGGCGCGGGGGGCCCCGCGCCTGCGGGGCCGTCCGAAGGGAGACGGCGAAGGAGGGAACTGAGGGCCTGCAGGATGCGGCGATGTAGATCGCCACCGTCCCGGTGAAGCAGAGTCGCGCGATGCGCGCGCGAGTGACGGTGGCTGTGGGCCGTCGGATAGCAGCGCGCGCCGCTCTGGCCGCAGGCGCCTTTTCAAGGCGAGCAAGTAGGCCTTCAGCCCCCCAGCGATGTAGGTCGCCGCGTGGCTGGGGAAGCAGGGGCGCGCGTTGCGCGCGCGAGTGGTGGTGGCCGCAGGCCGTCGGGTAGTGCGCAGCGCGCTGCGCCGCAGGAGCCTTGTCCAGGTGGACAATTGGGTCCCTCGCTTCCCCTCTCGTAGACCCCCTACCCGGCCCCTTTCCCGCCCCTCCTCGCCTCCTCTACCTTCTTCTTCTATCTTTGCAGGTGGCTGTCCGCAGGGCATCGTTATGAACGGCGCTCGTATCGGCTCTAGTCGCAGCGTGGCCAGGGCCGAGGGCTGGCGCCACCGGAACTCGCTTGCTAGCGCCGCCGCGCGGCCCGCCTTGCCCCGCCTCGCCGGGAGGGTGCGAGGCTTGTGCGGCTGCGTTCTTTAGTTCTTCAGGCGGGGGTCCGCCCGTAGGTATGGCGGAGCACGTCTAGGCGGCCCTTGGGGCCCGCCCGCAGGGCGACCCGTTCCCGCACCTCGGCTCCAATATTATTGACAATGTCCAGGAGGGGCTCGAGGGCCCCGCAGGCGTGGCCACCAGTAGAGAAAGTGCGTTTTTTTGTGGGAAGGCGCGGTCCGCGGCTTTTTCGACCCAGTACCAGCGGTGGGTTGAAAGCCTTTCTGTGAGATGCAGAAACATGTTGGGGCAAATCCGCGGCTCTCTCCCACGAGAACTTCTTCGGGCCGTAGGCCGTCCAGACGCGGGCTCTCTGGCGGACTTGTCCCGGGGTTACCCTGTTTCTGACCCCGTTTGGGTCGGCGGCGTTTGGCGTCAGTTGCCTGGCCTGGCGTTGCCGCGCAGCGCCGTCGAGAGCGGCCCTCCGTGCTCGGGCGAATATTTCAAGCGATGTTGGTTGATTAACTGCGCCGCTTAAGCCGATGCGAAACCGGGTGCTCATGCAGAGCCCGTTTGGCGGAAACATTTTCAGGGGGAGTCTTCGGACAAGGCAGGGCCGCCGCTTGCGCTCCGCGATGTAGAAATAAGCCAGGCCGATATCGTGGGGAGGCGAGACATGAAATAATTTTGTGAGGGCAGACAACAATGCCATACCGTTGACAGCTTTGACAAGCATGGGGTGAACGCTTGTGCGTTCATGGCTGAGCGCGCGTGGAGAGGTGCCTGCGACCATTCGTCTCGCGCTGCGTTGGCACTGCTGCGGGGCTTGCTCCGCGCTCCGCCCGCAGGCCCCCCTGGGATTTTCTCGGGTGGGGCGCTCCCGCGGGTGCCTGCAAAGCGGTTTGTTCTAGGCCAGATCAGTCTTCGCTAATGGGGGGCTTGGTTTGGGATGCAAGCCACCAGGATCGGAGGGTGTCAGAGCTTCTGGGCCAACCTCTCGGGGTCTTCGGGGGGTGTTTGCGTGGTGGCGGTGCGCCCGAGCCATCGAAGCGATTGCGGTGGGGGCCTTCGAGCTCGCCCTCTTGGTGCATGTCGATGGTGCGTTCGTGGTGGACTTTCAGCAGCGCGCGCAAAGCTGGTATTCCAGGAATTCGCGCCCCTCCTTGGTTGGGGCCTGGGCCTGGGAAAGTCGGAAGGCGTGTCCGCGACGAGAGCCCTCCACAGTTGCGCGCTCTCCGTTTCGGAGCATGGCGTGCAGTGGCGTCCTCACCCGTTTAGGGCCGCAGAGTGGCGGCTCGAGAATGAGGAAATCCTGGCCGCGGACCCCCGTTCCCGCGCTTCGGCGAGCAAGTTTGCCGGCCGCCTGAACTTCGCGTTCTCGCGGGCGTTCGGTCGTTAAATGTGTATATATATATGTATATGGACATGTATATATATATATAGATATGTGTGTTTACATGTGTATATGTATGTATATGTATGTATGTGTTTACACACATATATATATATATAGATATATAGATCGGGTCGTTGTGCTGGCGCCAATCGGCCCGAGGCCCTGGAAGCTCGCGAAGCGGTTGCGGGCGTGCCTCCGTTGGTGGACGGCTCTGTTCGAGACGACCTCCCCGGGCGTGCGCCGCGTGGCGGCGTGGCTGAAATTGTCTGTGTTCGATGTGTTGGCGTGTGCAGGCGCGGCCAGCGACGGTGCGGTGAAGGTCGGTGTCGTTGGCCTGAGTCAGGGTCTCGAGATTGCGCCATTGGTATTGTGCCGCGCGAGTGGCAGCGCCGCTTGCAGTCGAGAAAAAACGCAGATCAGCGCTGTCGAACTTTTGGCCGCCACGGCTGCGCGGCAGACGTCGTGGCCCGAGTTCCGCTCGGCGCGCGCGCGCGCGTTATTTTCCGTCGACAACACCGCCGCTTTGGATGTCATGATTTCGGGCTGGTCCAGGAGGCCTGATTTAGATTCCGTGGCAGGTGCGTGCTAGCGCGCTGTGGCCCGCTCTCGGGCGGCGGTAGAGTTTCGGCATGTGAATCCTGGGAGCAATCCCGTGGACCGTCCTAGCCGGCAGGCCGTGGGCCCGTGGGGGCCGCGGGGCCGCGGGGCACTAGAGTGGCCCCGCCCCGGTTCTGCGTGGTCGTGAAGCGAGAGTCGGCGCGTCGGAAGCATGCGCTGAGAGGGCGGAGGTGGGCGTTGGC